TATAAATAATGGTGCTATGATTACAGCTGTAGTCAACACGCTTTCCTGTGACTGATTAGGAGCTCTTGTTCATTTGAGCCTACTGTGCTCTTACGAAAGCTGTGAAGTTGCCAAGCGGTAGGACACAGCATTTTGGAAGACTTATTATTAACCTATTAGCTGTAATGCTGCAGGATCTTTTCTGGTCTCTTCTAATTCACATGAAGTAGCGAGAGTGCTGGATTCATCTCTGGTAGTGGTCATGAATTGAATGGGAGCCAACAAACCAAAACTTCATTTGGACAAGAGCAAAAATGGCTTCAATCTCATTCAAAAGATTCAACCTGCTCTGGATTCAACTTCTGAAGTATCCATCACACCCATTAGAGGTGCAATTAGCCTCAGCTTCAACTTATCCAGTACAGTGATGCCTTGAGCTGAGAGTTTAATTCGTTCTGTGACTGAGCTCTTAACTCAGATTGCTCTTATCTCAAAGCAAACTTTCCAATTGAAATGCATTGAAATCCTATTAATCCGTTTCGACCCCCGAACGCTTCCTCCCGCCCATTTTTTGTTATGTCTCCTTGAATACGAAAATGCACTTTATAAATAACATAATATAAAAATGCACATTCACATGGAACAATAAAAAAGAAAGATCAACTTTAAAATGGTAGAAGCTCAAAGTTGTGGCCAATGGTAGAAACACAAATAATAATAATAATAATAATAATAATAATAATAATAATACTTTATTTATAGCCTGCTACCATCTCCCCAAGGGACTCGGTGTGGCTTACATGAGGCAAGGAAGTTGTTGCAAGGAAGCACAAAGCATGAAGTGAAGAGGCAGAAGCATCATTTTCTTCATACTGTACTCATTCCAGCCTCCCTCTCATATGACCTCCTCAGATGGGGGGAGGAATTGATGGCATGCTCCAATTTGTTGTCCCTTTGAGACTAGAGCCCGCCAGCTCCCATTACATGACGTACCACTACTTCCGGCAGGGCCCCATGGTTAAAGGGATGGCGAAGTGGAGAATGCCACCACGGTGGCAACACAGTTGGCTTCCTGTGTTGCCTTGAAGTAATGGGGGAAGTTAGACAGTTGACACCTCCCACTGTGGCCCTAGAGGTAAGACAAGTGATGCGGGGTGATAGTTTCCCCACGCTCCTCAACGGCAATCGCTGGATTTGTCACAATGCATGGTGATTCTGGCGGCCAGTGTGAAGAGGTCGTTGCTCTCTCCCCCTTCTCTCTTCATGAAGCCAAAAATACCTGGAATAAAAACAACACAAAATCAGCTAACCCAAAGTTCCTCAAAGTACACAAGAGCAAAGAGGACAGCAATCCCACTGTTACACCAGCTCCAATGGCTGCCAGTCTGTTACCAAGCACAATTTACAGTGCTGGATTTAGCCTATAAAGCCCTAAATGGTTCCAGCCCAGTTTACCTGTCAGAGTGTATCTCCCATCTCGGAGATTAAGATTGTCTGGAGAGGCCTTGCTCTCGATCTCACCTCCTTTGCAGGCATGATTGGAGGGGACGAGAGGCAGGGCCTTTTCAGTAGTAGCCCCTTGGCTATGGACCACCCTCTCCAGAGGGATCAGTCCCTTCTCTCCTGGTTGTCAGGAAAAAAAATTAAGGCATGGCTTTGGGATTAAGCTTTTGACAAATAATTGGAGCAGTGCAATGTGATTGACAAATGGAACAGCCCTGGATTATGTTTTGGTTGGCATGATTTTAATTGATGTTTTAATAATTGATGTTTTACTTGTTTGGTTTTAATTGTAATTGTTTATTTTATGTATGTATGGCACTGATTTTAAACTGCCTTGAACAGACAGGATTACTTTAAATATATGTGCTATTGTGGTTTTTAATGCTTATATTGTCTTGTTAATTTTATATTTATGCTGTTTTCTTTGTATGTATTGATTATGTTACTTGGAAACCGCTCTGAGTCCCCTTGGGGAGATAGAGCAGTATATAAATAAAGTTTTGTTGTTGTTGTTGTTGAATTGTGGCCTGCTATAAGGCTGCCTTTAGGCCCTTTTGGGGTGAGAAAGGCAGGATATAAATATGGTAAATAAAATAAATCTCCCAAAGTAAAGAAAAGGATGAGGCATGGAGGCACAAGGCATGGAGGCTGCTCCCTTGAAGCCCTAAAGCCCTGTTCTCTTGTGCTAGTGCACCCCCTGGTCCAACTCTTAACTCAAAACGCTGCTCATATGTCAAAGTGAACCCTTGGCCAAATGACAGCTCTTAACTCAAAATGCTCTTAACTTGGGATGCTTTTTAAGTCGAGGTTCCACTGTATATTTATATCTTTTTGGATTACTGCAACGCATTGCACCTGGACAGTCTTTGAGGGTAGCTCAGAAACAGTTTTAAAATATTAACTGGGATCAGGTACTATGAACATATTAATCCGTATTCTTCTTTGCCTTTTGTCTTTTGATTCATTCCTGAGTCCACTTCTGAATTTTGACTATATGCCCTAAACCACATGTATCAAGGCCCATGGTTTGAATCTGGCCCATGATGTAATTTTATGTGGCTCCCCAGATGCTGGACTACAACCAGGGCCGTAGCCAGAAAAAAATTTCGGGGAGGGTTGACAATTTGGGGGGGGGGTTGAAACCTGCCTCCTAGCTCACGCTGAAGCAAAGAGCACAGCAGGGGGCAGAGCAACCTTCCATAGCCTGCAGCTCCACCCCTGTCAACCACCTTCACCAAGTCTGGCCTCCTTAATGAGAGCATTCAACACACACACACACACAACTTGGTTGCTTCTACATCGGTTATTGCTGCAAGTAATGACAGTGTGAATAAATTGTCAATATTTGCTTGAGATAGTGCTTACAGTTCTGGAGGGACTCTTAATTTTTTTGCATCTCATAGACTTAGCATGGGGATTGGGTTAACCAGTTAAAATTCATGAGTAAACCAGGTTTTTTAAAAAATCTGAAACATTTCGGGGGGGGGGGTTGAACCCCTAAAACCACCCCCTCGCTACAGGCCTGACTAGAACTCATCTTTAGACATTCCTCATCATTAGACATGATTACTAGAGCCAATGGGAGTTGTGGAAAAGGCCTGAGGCTGGATCTACATCCCAGGAATGGATCCCAGATTATCTGTTTTGCAATGGATTATGTGAGTCTATACTGCCAGATAATCTGGGATAAGAAGATAACCTGGGATCAGATCCTGGAATATAGGGCAGTGTAGATCCCAGTTTATCTGCTTTGCACTGGATTATATGAATCTACACTGCCAGATAATCTGGGATGATAATCTGGGTTCAGATCCTGAGATATAGGGCATTGTAGATCCCTGATTATCTGCTATGAACTGTATTATATGAATCTATACTGTCAGATAATCTTGGATAAGGAGATAATGTGGGATCGGATCCTGGGGTATAGGGCAGTGTAGATCCCAGATTATCTGATTTGAACCGGATTATATGAATCTACACTGCCAGATAATCTGGAATAAGGAGATAATGTGGGATCGGATCCTGGGGTATAGGGCAGTGTAGATCCCAGATTATCTGATTTGAACCGGATTATATGAATCTACGCTGCCAGATAATCTGGGATAAGGAGATAACCTGGGATTGGATTGGGTACAGGGCAGTGTAGATCCGAGATTACTTGCTTTGAACTGGATTATATGAATTTACACTTCCAGATAATCTGGGATAAGGAGATAATGTGGGATTGGAACCTGAGGTATAGGACAGTGTAGACCCCAGATTACCTGCTTTGAACTGGATTGTATGAATCTACACTGCCAGATAATCTGAGATAAGGAGATAACCTGGGATTGGATTGGGTACAGGGCAGTGTAGATCTGCTTTGAACCGGATTATATGAGTCTACATTGCCAGATAATCTGGGATAAGGAGATAATGTGGGATCAGATCCTGGGATACAGGGTAGTGTAGATCCAGCCTAAAACACCGCCTACAGCACCGGATCTTCCCCCTCCCATCCAGACCCTGCTTAGCATTCAAAGTCTGGTAGGACCTGTCACTTCATGGCTAAGCCCCCAAATTGGAGCTGCAAGGCACAGCAAGCCTTTTCTGCATATAAACACATAAGGCAGCGTACCTTTCCCTCCCCGCTGAACCCCAACAGTGGTACATTCCTGCTTCGGGAGCCCGAAATCGAGCGCTACCACTGGAGGGCGGGAGGGGGGGATGCGGCTCTTGGGTCCAGGCACCGCCCCTTTCTCTCCGCCTCCCTTCCTCCTCCTCTTGTCTCTCTCCACTCCCGGCAGGATGCAGGCTGAGCGGCGGGGAGCCGAGCCCGGAGGAGGAGGAGGAGGAGGAGGAGGCTGAGGCGGGTCCCTCCCTGCCTCCTACCGGCCGGTGCAGGTAAGGAAGAGGGGCGGGGGGCGGCCGCAGTGGCTCCGTCCTTGGGACGGCTTTGGAGTTGCGCGCCTCTTCGGAGGCATACGGTAGCATTGGTCCCTCAGGGGAGAGAGAGCAGGGGAAATAGAGAGAGAAGGCTGCTTTGGACGCCTTGGGATGCTGGGGGAGGACGTCCCAGTCATCCTCCTTGTGTGATCCAGGGGGATTTGTCCCCTTCCCCTTCCTGCCTTGCTGGCCAATGCCCTCTTTCCTGCAGCAACTTCTCTATTGCCACCCCCCTCCTCCCCACCTGCTTCTTCCTTTCCTGGCTTGGCTTGATTTTCAAGTTCCTCCCACTGCTTGAGATCTTAAAATAGAGCCCATCTTTTGGAGAGAGGTGTGGGTGGGGGTGGCACTGGATCTCCACTACCATTATAGGACCATATAATGCAGCTCTGCATCATTTGGCAGTGTAGATCCAGCCTCACAGATTGGCATAAGATTTGGATGCTCTGTAGCCTCTTCCTTGGCTAGAAACTACAGGCAATTCCCATGTTAGCAACAAGATAGGTTGATTTATATCCCATTTTATCTGTCCATAGAGCCCCCGGTGGCACAGTGAATTAAACTCCTGAGCTGCTGAAATTGCTGACCGAAAGGTCACAGGTTCAAATCCTAGGAGCAGGGTGAGCTCCTGCCATTAGCCCCAGCTTCTGCCAAGCTAGCAGTTCGAAAAGATGCAAATGTGAGTAGATCACATATAATAATGTAATATAGTAATGGAGCCCGCAGTGGCGCAGCCGGTTAAACCGCTGAGCTGCTGAAATTGCTGACCGAAAGGTTGTAGATTCGAAGCAAGGGAGCATTGTGAGCTCCCACCACTGGCCCTAGCTTCTGCCAACCTAGCAGTTCGAAAACATGCAAATGTGAGTAGATCAATAGGTTCCGCTCTGGCGGGAAGGTAATAATGTAATATAGTAATGGAGCCCGCAGTGGCACAACCAGCTAAACCGCTGAGCTGCTGAAATTGCTGACCGAAAGGTTGCAGATTCGAAGCCAGGGAGCATTGTGAGCTCCTGCCATTAGACCCAGCTTCTGCCAACCTAGCAGTTCGAAAACATGCAAATGTGAGTAGATTAGTAGGTACCGCTCTGGCAGGAAGGTAACAATGTAATATAGTAATGGAGCCCGCAGTGGCGCAGCCGGTTAAACCACTGAGCTACTGAAATTGCTGACTGAAAGGTTGTAGATTCGAAGACAGGGAGCATTGTGAGCTCCTGCCGTTAGCCTCAGCTTCTGCCAACCTAGCAGTTCAAAAACATGCAAATGTGAGTAGATCAATAGGTTCCGCTCTGGCGGGAAGGTAACAATGTAATATAGTAATGGAGTCCTCAGTGGTGCATCCGGTTAAACAGCTGAGCTGCTGAAATTGCTGACCGAAAGGTTGGAGATTCGAACCCAGGGAGCATTGTGAGCTCCTGCTGTTAGCCCCAGCTGCTGCCAACCTAGCAGTTCGAAAACATGCAAATGTAAATGGATCAATACCTACTGCTCTGGCGGGAAGGTAATAATGTAATATAGTAATGGAGCCCGCAGTGGCGCAGCTGGTTAAACCACTGAGCTGCTGAAATTGCTGACCGAAAGGTTGCAGATTCGAAGACAGGGAGCATTGTGAGCTCCTGCCGTTAGCCTCAGCTTCTGCCAACCTAGCAGTTCGAAAACATGCAAATGTGAGTAGATCAATAGGTTCTGCTCTGGCGGGAAGGTAACAATGTAATATAGTAATGGAGCCCTCAGTGGCACAGCCGGTTAAACTGCTGAGCTGCTGAAATTGCTGACCAAAAGGTTGCAGATTTGAAGCCAGGGAGCATTGGCAGCTCCTGCTGCTGGCCCCAACTTCTGCCAACCTCGCAGTCCGAAAAGATGTGAGTAGAGCAATAGGTACAGCTCTGGCAGGAAGGTAATGGCGTTCCATGCAGTCATGCCAGCCACATGACTTTGAAGGTGTCTACAGACAACGCTGGCTCTTCAGCTTAGAAATGGAAATGAGCACCAATCCCTAGAGATGGACACAACTAGACTTAATGTCAGGGGAGACTCAGATATGTTTATTTATATATATGTTTATATATATCCTGTGTTATCTGTCCATAGAGCCCCCAGTGGCACAGTAGGTTAAACCACTGACCTGCTGAAATTGCTGACTGAAAGGTTGCAGGTTCGAATGTGGGGAGCGGCATGAGATCCTTCCACTAGCCCCAGCTTTTGCTTTTGCCACTAGCCCCTTATTTATTTATTATTTATTTATTTACTGCATTTGTAGACCGCCGTTCTCAGCCCTAGGGCGACTCACGGCGGTGTACAACATATAAAAAACAATTTACAATAAGGCAATTACACAAACAACAATAGCAACATCACTATTAATAATACAATTACACTAAATCATTCGCGACGTCTCATCATAGAATCACAATCCAATCTCGTTTTCCATATTCCGTTCCAATCATCATTGCCAATTGTTGTAGCACTTAGTCAAACGCCTTCTCAAACAACCATGTCTTTAGTCTCTTGCGGAATGTCATAAGGGAGGGCGCCTGTCTGATGTCTACAGGGAGGGTGTTCCACAGCCGGGGGGCCACCACCGAGAAGGCCCTATCCCTCGTCCCCGCCAGGCGTGCCTGTGAGGCAGGCGGGATCGAGAGAAGGGCCTCCCCAGACAATCTCAAGGTCCTCGTGGGCTCATAGGCCGAGATGCGGTCAGAAAGGTATTTTGGGCCGGAACTAAAACAGTATATCATTATGTATTATTATATATTATCAATAGTAATTATATTTAATATATTAGTATTACTATATTAAAGGTAAAAGTTTCCCCTTGACATTAAGTCTAGTGTCATCTGACTCTGGGGATTGGTGCTCATCTCCATTTCTAAGCCAAAGAGCCGGCGATGTCCGTAGACGCCTCCAAGGTCATGTGGCCGGCATGGCGGCATGGAACACTGTTACCTTTCCTTTGAATCAGTACCTATTGATCTACTCACATTTACATGTTTTCGAACTGCTAGCTTGGCAGAAGCTGGGGCTAGCAGCGGGAGCTCACCCCACTCCCCGGATTTGAACCGCCGTCCTTTTGCTCAGCAAGTTCAGCAGCTCAGCAGCTTTACCACTGTGCCATCAGCGGCCCCGTTATTATATTATATTATTATGATTATATTGCATATTATTATTTTATATTATTATTCGTGTTATATTGCATCACATTATACTATTATCTATATTTTATATATATACCATATATTATATTATCAGCATAGCACAATGTTAGTATTATACATTACTATATTACACTATACCACTATATTGCAGTATTATTAGTAATATTACTTGTAATATGTAATATACAATTATTATATATTATTATATTGTACTATATTATTATACCACAATTTATGTAATACACTACCGTTACATTATACTATTAATATTATATAATATATTGTATTTTAGATTTGTTCTTAAGTTGAATTGGTAAGTCAGAAATGAGACTTTTTATAAGTGAAATTTCCACCATACACACACACACGCGCGCGCAAACACACATTTGAGTGTAGCTCGAACTTTATGCCTTTGATGCTCTGTAGCCTCTTCCTTGGCTAGAAACTACAGGCAGTCTCCTAGCAGTGAACATTGATGTGTTCTTAAATTGAATTTGTATGTAAGTGAGAAATGGGACTTTCAAAAAGTGTAATTCCCACTACATACACACACACACACATATATTTAACAGTGTAGATCCAGCCTTTTTACATACAGACACACACATTTGGCAGTGCATCATTTGGCAGCGTAGATCCACCCTTACAAATTGGCTTGTGCTTTTGATGCTCTGTAGCCTATAGTGTGTGTGTGTGTGTCTGCGCATGCTTTGGATCACATAGGGAAGGGTTAATACCCCTGTGGTTTTTGTTTTGCTGTCTGTACTCCTGTTCAGAAGATTTTACCTCACTTTACGTCTCCGTGATAATTGGATTTTGACAAATTTGGCTTCTGGATTGGTGTGAAAGCTTCAGTGGAGACTCCTTTCCCCCATGATAACTCTTTAGAAGTGAATTTCCCTTCCTGGGGGTAGATTTCTCTCATTTCCTGTTGTTCCATCCCCGTTTTTAACTGTGAGTCATTTGTAAGTCGGATGTTTGTAACTCGGGGGACTGCCTGGACACTGCTTTGTCACAGTGACTATATGATCCCATGTAAATTGCATTATGATCACTAGTATTACACCACTCAATGGGGGGTGGGGCGCCTGTTATTGATTCTTTTAAAAAAATTGATAGGTTTTTAATACATAAAAACAAGCAAGAAAAAAGGGGGGAGAGAGGGTCTTAGGGGAAGGTGAGGGTAAAAACATGAGGGGTAGAAAGGGGGAAGGGGAGATGGGGGAAGGGTAATAAACTGGGGAGAAGAGGGGAGGGATGGGTTCTAGGTGTAAGGGGGGAAGGGTAGATAATGGAGGGTTGGGGAAGGGCACGGGGGGGGGGGGGGGGGGGGGGGGGGGGGGTTCTTCCGTGTCTCTTCATAGTAGTTTTCTCCAATTTGTTGGTCTATACTTCTCCATGTTTTTACCTTTCTTCTTTTTTCTTGTGGTAATTCTATCTGCCTTAATGTTTATAGTCCATTTTATATCAGTATTTTCATTTTGTTGTCTTTAATCCAAGTTTTTAGTAAAGTCCAGTCAGTCATCTATAATATTTATTCTGTGTCTTTGTAAAAACGTCAGTTTATCCATATTCACAATGTCTAGGATTTTCTCTATCCATTCCTCTTTCTGGGGTCTTAATTTTTGTCTCCAGGTCCTTGCATATACAATTCTTGCCGCTGTTGTCATATAAATAAATAGTTCGTCTTCATTGGAGTCTGTTCGTAGATTAGTCATTCCTAAAAGAAAAGCTTCTGGTTTTAGAGGAATTTTTTTCTTTAAGATCTTTTGACATATCTCATGTATCTGTTTCCAAAAAGCTGTGGCTGTTTTTGCATGTCCACCATATGTAATGGAATGATCCTTCATACTCTCCACATTTCCAGCATTTGTCGTTTACATTTTTAGTGAATTTGGCTATTTATCTTGGTGTCATGTACCTGTTGTGGCTCAGTCTGACCCTGAGCTTTTTGAGCTTGAGTTTCCTCAGGACGAGGAGAATGATGAGTTACAGATTTCTGAACATGTTCCTGTTGCAGAGGCAGACAGTGTTGATACTGAAGAAGAGACGGCATTTCTGTTTCCCAGAGAAAGGAATGTTGATTTAAGTGATACTTCATAACTGCAAGTGGAGGAGTCGGCCGCTCCATCTGGGAGCTCAGTGCCTCTCGATTTCCAGGGTGACTAGTCCCAGGATAATGAGTTAGTCGGCCTTGAAGGTGATAGAAATTTGATTAGGGAGGACCGTTTGCACTTAAAGGTACGCCAAAGTGCTCGGCTTGCTAACAAACCGGAAGTCCGAGGTCAACGTAATGCTTTCATGCTGGGGAAACATATTTAACGATCTGATTGAAGTCAGTCCTTTGTCAGTGCAACATTGCTTACACCCTGTTAACTTCTCTGGAATTGCCCCGGCTTTTGGAGAAAGCTTTTGATCTTGGTTTTTGGGATTTTGTCATGCTGCCATGGATTCTTGTTTGACCAATGCTAGTGGATTATACTTCATGGTATTTGCTTTTGGACCTTGGAACCTTTGCCTTTGCATT